TGGTAAATCAAAGTTTAAAAAAAAAAAAGCAACACACTTATGCCAGGCATTCTGAATTACAAAAGGTGTAACTAATAGCATGCTGCCCCAATGGCACAGCGCCTTTATTCTTTGTTATACCTGTATTACACTGAATGTTTTTCATGAGAAACATCTGTTACACACACCAGAAAAACCTGACATCCCATATTACTCCATATTATAGCTAACATACAAACATCACTGGGATCACAAGAGGTGAGTAAGACAACTTTACAGGTCTCAGAATCGGTAGCTTTTGCACTGAATGTTATGGTAGCCCCCCTCACCAGGAGGGTGAGGGAGGACTGAGGTTGGACTCAAGTTTGCAGACCCAGGTGCTAGGGGGAAAAACATGACAGTAACAGGTAAATAAAGAGAACACAAAGTATCAAAAGAACATAACATGGGAAAGTACGGTACTTGGATATGTATGATATGTAGTGTAGTGTAAATGAGCGTAGCGCGTAGGTAGTGTGGTAGAGTCAAGCCAAAACGCACAGTGTCTGTCAGCGTAGCATTCTACCAACATGTACAGTCCGCGTTACTATGTTATGTTCTTTTGATACTTTGTGTTCTCTTTATTTACCTGCTACCGTCATGTTATTCCCCCTAGCACCTGGGTCTGCAAACTTGAGTCCAACCTCAGTCCTCCCTCACCCTCCTGGTGAGGGGGGCTACCATAACATTGACAATGTTTTGTTTCCAGAAAAACATTTTACATTGAGGTGTGCAAATTATACAGAGAACCCACGATACTCTCTTTAGAGAAAAATGTTGGTGTAAATTATATAACTTTAAATATAATTGTTTTTTCACTGTTTCAATTGTTAAATATGACAACCATTTTTATATACTGTGCATAATCAATATATACATTCTTCCTCTGACTTGTACAGTTGCACTACTAGATTTTTTTTACTTCAGTACATTTAGCTCAGACTAATGGAGTCTAATACAGCGTTCAACAAAACCTCCTTTCAGAATTCTAATGTGGGATCATTTTTGGAAGATGTAGTTTGTGGTGCTGTTGCAGGTGTTTGTTATTTTGTCCACATTTAAATCAATAAGCCCAGGTTAACACCTCTCTGTAATAAAAAGCCGACTGACTCTATACATTTGTACAGATTCCTACAAATGCTCAAACAGTAATATACTTACATGCATTTTATGTTGAATTTGCAGTTGTACTCTACACAGTCGACTTGGGTGAATTTTGTTTGATTTTGTTACTACACAACATTAAGTCGTCTTTATCTAATACAGTATGATTCAATGTTTTTCAGTGCTACCTACAAGCACAGCTGCAAGGTCCCCAATCTGTCTTATGAGTATCTTTTTTGGTAATATTACATTTATATTAAAGGACCCTCAGTCAACTACTTCCTATGAGCAATGTAAGAGCTTTCTGCCAAAGAACAGTCAAGACTATTGCACTGGAAAGGAACCAGTTTGTTTTCCTTTGCGCTTTTGTCACTGGTTTGAAGTTAGTAGGTCTCAGTATTGGAAAAAGGTGACATCACCTACTTCTATGCACCAATCGTTATTCAGCTGCGTTTGAATCAAAATCTGATGACAGTTGGTCACTGCCAATCAAATCCAATCAAAATACAGCAGTCCTTATGAAGCAGATTAGCTGACCTTTTGAACTTTTGAGCGTTAAACTCAACATATAATAATTAGAAGTCATGTTTTCTAAACTTCATACTTTTTTTAACAGAGACATGCATTTAAGGAGGAGTAACATGGTGGTCAGTGGGTGTTTGCAGCAGGAGAGGGCATAAGCAGCACTAAAGCTACGTTCACATTACTGACATAAATGCTTAGTTGTGATCTTTTTGTTAGATTCAATCCTTTTGTGTTGATGGTTCACATTAATGTTTGTAAGTGACGTATCCGGTTCTGGTGTGAACACTGCTAAGGTCCTAAGCTGCCACACATGCACAGGCATAACTGAAATGAGAGCTGCATGTATAATAAAATAATGTGATTTGTGAGATGGCTGAATCGCTCAGTTTCCTCACAAAGCATCAGTTACAACATGTTCCTTTCAGTTGGGCTTCATCAGAAGCTTCTCCTTAAATGTCAAATAAATGTGAAAGGTCCTTGTCTCTCTGCTGAGCACTGTCACTGCCATTGCTCTCCTCCATGCTTATTTTTACCAGCCTGTGAGGCGCGGCCGCTGAATGATGACGACCTGATATATGCAAAGGAGTGAGACACTGAAAAAACCTGCATGAATTCTGTTCTGAGTGTTCTGACAGAGGTCGCATCAGACCACAAACTATCTGTAAGTGGCACAGATCTGATTTGAAGAAATCTTATTTGTTTTGTTCATACATCTGTGACAAGATCAGATTGGAGCTACTTGGAAGGGGATAAAACATATTTGAGTCCCTTCAATAAGTAATGTGAACGTAACTTAAGTCACACATGAGTCCATGTAGGACTCGGAGCAGACTTCCAGTCAGACAGCCAGTATGCAAGGCAAGCAAGACCGACAGTCAGGGCTCTGCCAAGCCTCACCTGAGAGAGGAGGGTGGCTGGGTGGAGGGCCCTTTGTGGGGGAGGTACCAGGAGGAGACTCCTTGTCACTTGCCACCTCCTCCCCTGGTTGCACACACACACACACACACACACACACACACAGTGAGGGGCTGTGAGGGTTCAGCTATGCAGGAAGTTAGATTTGTGAGGTGAAGAGAAGTGAAAACGGTTGACACACCAGTCACAAGTGAAATCAGGTTTGCCTAAGAGTGCTGTGTGTAGCATTTGACTACAAAAAATGTATTACCATAAAAAAAAAAGAGCAAATGGAATCCACCAGCCTTTTAAATACATTTTCCATTAAGTTACATGCAAAAACCACAATTAAATGACTTTCAGTGGAAAATGGTGCATGAAAAACAGCACAAAGTGCACAAACAGCAAAAAGTGCAGCTGAAGAATTCACAGATTCATATAATAACAGATGGGGTAATGAGTGAAAACCTTGGTAGAATTAGAAATTTGGCATTTGACAATGTTGCACACAGCACCTTTAGATGGTTAGAAGTCACACGGTGTACAGTGCTTTATTGGAGAAAGCAAGGGCTGTTATGTTAATCTGTCTTCACTACTCTACAGTCATGGCTACAAAATACTGGCACCCCTGCATTTTTGTCAGATAATGCACCAGTTCTCCCAGAAATCATAAGCAGAGGGTGTCAATAATTCTGCCAAGTCGATTTTTGGAGTTCTGTGTGGAATGGATCAGGTTTGGCTTTTTTGTGATGTTCCAATGCAAAGAAATGAAATAAACATGAGAATACCAAAGAATGTGATTGCAACATTTTTCTGGGAGAAGTGGTGCCTTATCTGACAGAAATGCAGGGGTGCCAATATTTTTGGCCGTGACTGTATATAACCAAGTATGCAGACAACCCTGTGAAGTAAATAAAGTCCTCAACTCTTCTGTTTATCTTTTACTAGCTCTTTTTTCTCTTAGCATGTACTTAATTATCCATTCTCTATTCTGCCCCACACCAGTGCCGGACCTCAGTGAGTTCTCATGGCTGAAATTCCTGCAGCCTGGTTGTAAAATCTGTTACAGCAGCATGTTGCTGTCAGCATGGAATGAGATGGTCATCATATAATGCACAAGACAAAAAAACTATTAATGATGACCTTCAAATACTGCGTTAAGGATAAATGTAATTTAGAGCTTAGTAACAAACTACAGGGGTCATCATAGCACTGTGTGGTTAAGAAAATAAAAAGAGTTAATACAGACATTTTAAGAGCTGTGATTTGAGTTGAATGAGCCGTACCATTGGTTCCTCCATGCTGTTTCCTCTGCACCTCCTTGCGGTACTCCTCCAGCTCTTGGTCGGTCAGCTGGTTGAAGGGGTTGGGGGGTTCTGGCTCTGGTGGAACTTTGGGTGGACTTACTGGAGACTAACACATAAGCACAAAATCAGAGCTTTTAACTCTGCCATTCAAGAAGAGGACAAATGCTTAGAGGGCAGCAAGACTGCAGCGTACCGGAGGACTGTCCTCTGTTATGACACTGGCGAGGACTTGAGACTGTGGTCCTGCTGTCTTCATGTCCTGACGATTCTGCTGTCGGATCTGAGGAGAAAATCAATTTTGTAAACATTTTTGACTCGCGTCCAAAGACTGGAGTCATGCAAGACAGAAAAGGCAACATCAAGGAAAAGTTACCTTGTTTCGTGTCTCAATCACCTCTTGAGGGTTGGTGTAAAGAGGCACAAACTGGTTTGAGCTCTCCATCTTGATGGATGTGCTGCCAGCTTGAGTCACCTCTTCTGTCTTCAACCACTAAGGAACAAAACAATATCCACTTTAAAAGAAAATGTGTCCAACATGTAGAGGATCATGCCAGTCTTGTTTGTTTAGACATGTCAGACATGAATTTACTGGAAAACAAACACTTTAAAAATATGTTTTTATGAAGGATATGTATTAATATTAATATGAGCTATATGTTGCCACCAGAGGGCAGACTCTGCACTGCAGTAGTCATCTCTAAGCAGTAGACTTTCCCCTGCAATGCAGAAAAAAGGAGAGAAACGAGGGTGGGAGGGACAAAGGAGGCTCCTCCCACTGATGCAAGACAACTAGCCTTATATTCTCTCTCTCTCTCTCTCTCTCTGAAGGACTCATCACTGCAGAACTAAAAACAAAAACTCCACAGTAATCCTCCATATGAATCAGAGGAAAAACTGATGTTTGGGTATAGAAATATGCTCTGTAGAATGCAGAACAAAACAAATTTCTTGTCAAATCATCAAAGAGATGGTGAGTATATTACACTGTTACTCTGTTCGTCTCCTTAAAATGTTGCTCCAAACCTCAGCAAGTTTCAAGCCTTTTCTTTTCTTCGTCTCACAGCTCAGTTTAATCTCACTCTTGTTTCTGATCCCTGTGCTCTTCAACTTCTTTATGTATATTTTTTAACTACATATCACTACAGACAGCATACTGTACTGAACCCTCCTCGTTGTGGATGCCACAGTGAATAATTTGTTGTTGGACTGCTGTAGTTGGCACCATCGCAATTATATCAAAAATGTCTGGTCTGCAACTTTATTTCAGACAATTCCTGTTATTGTATGATCTGTTCAGGAAAATCAAAACTAATGACTTGTAAGAGCTCACAGCGGTGCGCTGGTGTCCAGGGCTGGCTTGCTCCTGGCTGACTTTTTGATAGGTGTTGGGGGTGTTGAGCCATCGGGTCCTCTCCTGCTGCTGGCGTTGAGCAAAAGGGTGCTGCCTCAGAGCCGGGTAGACTCCATCGTCATCAAAATGGTGGAAGGCTGTGACAGTCGCGGGCACCTCCACCTCCCTCCGTGTCCGCGATCGCTCCAACAACAAGGGGAAACGGTAGGCATAGCCGGTCCGGTAGCCCTGAAAACAGGAGGAAGGCAACATCACCTCAAACCCTGGTGGGCAGAATACAGCCAATTTTCTCTTAGCCTGCTTTAGCACACTTAAGCTATGCTGTAATGACAAGCATTTCCACTGACCCAAGCTTTTTCATTGCACTCAACTTTTATCTGGTTGTGCAGGCTACAGGAGAGAAAGCAGCAGTTTCTCACCATGTTCAGCTTGCAGTTGTAACTCCTGTATAATGTATAAAATGGATCCTGTACAACAAGGACTTCTGTGGTTTGTACAACTGTTCCAAAGATGCATTTGCTGTTGAGTTACTGTTGATGCAAACTGAACATTCCGTGCTGCTGCTTTACGTTAAAAGCTTTCCATCAGCAAACCGCAGGAAGGCTTTTATGCTTTTATTGTGAAGCAGCTACAGGAAATGCAGCAATATTTGTCATAGTTTAGCATGTGACTGCTGCATTCACACAACACAGAAGAAATGGTACAGAGCAAGTGTTCACAGTATGAGAGATCTGAACAGAACTGTAGAGTTGGTTGTGTGAGAGTTCAAATTACTGTACATTAGAAAGATACAGAACAGAAACTATATCCATAAAATTTGATGTGAATTAGCTAAAACCGGCAAGGTGGCTAGACAAAGAGCTGCAGCTGATGGACTTACTGTAATACAATTTTTATGAATCAGCAGACCTCTAACACATCAAGGTAAGGAACATCTTTTAGTGAGCCACCCTTTTAATCCCAGCAAATCTTTAAACTATGTTGTCTAAAAAATTTCTTCATCTTCAGTTGTCACAGGTCACAGTGCCTACCAAGTTATCCAGAGTTCTCATGAGCGCTTCAAACTCATGCTCCCCAATGCGGCTCTTGTGCAGGGGCCCAAAGGTGGAGCCAGCCCAGCCCACAGTGCCGGCTGGGTTGGGTTTATGTGTGGTCCGGTCCAACAAAATCAGGTTCTGTTGTCCACCGGCGCAGCACAAAGCTGTCACCTGGGGGGAAAAAAAACAAAACACAGATGTGGAACAAGTTGCACATTCAGGGGAAAAGTTACTGAGCTCATTTTCCCTATTTAAGGAAGTTCTACTTTAGCTGCACACACACTTAAATTCAAGCCAGCACAAGCTTATGTCCAAAAGCATCTTAACCACATTTACTGAGTGTGGGAAAAGGATCAATGATCTTATATTCACACTACTGCTCCCCTATAGGTCACCGCTGGTCATGTACAACTACAGTGTCTTTTTGGTACATGACATTCCTGTGGTGCATCATGCTGCAGTGCAGACCTACTGGATGAATTACAGGTACAAAGGAAAGGGCAAATGTCCAGCTGTAACACTGATGCATTTATATTATGTACACGTCAGCTCACTCTCCCACTCTCACACACCCACAGAGTGGCAGCGCTTTGCCTCTCTTTGTCAGCTGTTAGTCAGAGTGTTGGTGTGTGTGTGTGTGTGCGTACTACCTGGATCTGGCAGGCAGCCTGGATGTGATAGATGGTGTAGAAGGCCTCCTCCACAGACTCCCCCAAAGCCACAATGCCATGATTCCTCAGCACCAGAACCTATCATGCACATAAAATCAGCATCAACACTGGAATAAAATCAACTCATGAGTTTATCCTGCGAGCAGTAGCACCCGTGTCAGTAATTAATCCAGTGTAAGGCCACATCACCATACGTCCTCTTCTCTGTGCATTATAAAACTTAACTTACCACGTAGGAGGCAGTAACTGCTGAATCAGATGATGATGCATGGTTATCATATTAACGGTTCTGTCTCTTGTGGTTTGCTCACCTTGCAGGTGGGTCCCAAGCTCTTCTGCAGCTCCACTCTGTCCTCTTCCTCTTCCATGACTCCATTGTAGTCATAGTAGGCCACATCACCAACTAGCAGAGCTTCATGGGACAATGGCAGAAGGCCACACTTCATTGCTGAAACCTGGAGACAGCTGGCTGTCAGTCGTTGCAGCAAAGTCATGAAACAGACTCAGCTGCGTTTTTTGAAGTCACAATTTGCTTTACAAGCAAATCCATGCTGGACAGTGGTGCAATGTTATCAGAACTGTGCAGCAGAAGCATAACAGTGTCTCTAATCAAGAGTACAGAGCAGTGAGCTAACTCCATCCTCCACTCTGGCATCAGCCCAGGCTGACTCACCGCAGCAGCGGCCGGTGTGTGGAGGTGAAACAGACAGCGAACATCTGGCCGGGCCGAGTAGATGGCCGAGTGCAGGCTGAACTTCTCAGAGTCCACGCCCAGGTTGGTGCTACCCTTCTCCACCACCTCACCCAGGATATTCACCTTCACCTGTAAAACCACAGCACCTCCAGCATGAGTTTCAGAGATCTCCTGTTTAGTAGTTCTGTCTCCATTTGGGTTAAAACTAGATTCTTACGAATGGTGGTTGTGAAGCATTCTATAACATGCTTACACCCGTGATAGCATTTGTCATAAAAGCAGTTTTAAAACTGACTGAATGAAGGCTGTGCAGCTGTTCTAGATGTGATGCAATTTTTTTCAAATTCAAATGTGATTTTGAAGGCAGATGGTTAATGTAAATTTATGTTAAACAACACTTAAAAATTTTGAAATTTTGTGAGGATTTACTTCCATGTACTGTTGTGTTGTTGAGGAAAAGTTTCTCAAAGCACACAGACATTGGAACATGGATACTACTGAAACTCAATCAAATATGTTTACTCATACTGAATAAAGCAATAAATAAAATGGAGGAATTTTCCCATAAACAGCAAAACCTTGGTCCTGACTATGACTAGTTATACTCACCAGACTGGATCCAGTCACCTCGCTGTAGGCCAGGCCGTCTGGTAGCACCAGGAAGTGTTCCTGCTCTTTACTGACACGTAGCTGTCAGAGGCAGAGCAACATAGGGAAAG